CTAAAACTCAAGATATGGGTTGAAAACTAAACACTATCTAGGCTGCAGGACAAACTCGGATTTCCACATTGTTGCTAAGATTTGGACTTTCAAACAGTAGAATTGAGTCTTGATTTCCTAAGAAAGTTTTAGGGCTATGTTTTAGCTTTCCATCCATATAAACCAGACCTAAATTCAAGTTCTACAGCTCTAGTTATGATCCAATTACCGAACAGTGTTCTAGTTTGGACTGAACCAGCATCTCTTTTCTAAACTTCACCCTCTCTTTATCCTTTCAATTTTAGTACTTCAACTCCTCAATCAATCCTTTCATTTATGTGATAAGAATGTATTTAGGATGAACATTTACTATAAATTAAAGGTATCTTATGGTATCATATTTGTTATTATAAAACATGCTTTTGTTAAGGAGTTATTGATATTTTAAATGCAAAATAATGATATAAAACCTTGATAAAAATACACTTTAAATACCAATTAGTATCAGAAGATGCGTAGAACTCTAGTTCGTAACCAAAACGTCACGACAACATTCAAAGGCACCTTTTGGATTAAAAAATAGGGGGCAGAGGAGCACGTAGGAATGCCGACCACTACTTAAGCCACTTGTGGCTAAGAGAAAGTGAGTCGTCGTATATGTTGTTTGGAGCGTTGAAGAAGCGAGCCCCTATTAGAGAAAGCCATTGCGCGCTAGCCTAGCTAGCTACCCTTTTTCAGCTCAACTGGTTATTATGTTAGTTGTAGCCCACCTTCCCTCCTCTCATTTCAGAAAGATTTTGCTTTTTTATGATGACCTAGTCAAGGGAGTACGATACATTAGTGTAAAAGATTAAGTGGAACCTGTGAGGTTGGTCACGAGGCAGTTTATCTTAAAAACCTATTTTTTTTAACTCTCTTTTCATTCTTTTATCTTTCTCTCTCTTCTTTTCTTCTTCTTCTTTCTCTTTTTCTGTTTTATCTCTTTTATTTTTTTTGTTTAAATGGTAAAAAATTGTATGTTTGACTGGGCTCGTATAAATAAGGAAACCTAGAAAAGAACTTTGCCTATATATTAATAATTAGTCCAAGAATCAGGTTGTGATAATTATACATATTAAATTATAAATCTAACCTTAAAAACCTATTTTTTGTAACTTTCTTCTCATTCCTTTATCTTTCCCTCTCTTCTCTTCTTCTTCTTCTTTCTCTCTTTGAGTTTTCTTCTCTCTTTTAATTTTTTATCTTTTCTTGTTCCTCTCTTTTCCTACTTATATTTATCAATTTTTATGTAATTATCAAAATGTCCCTCACTCATTTATACCTCATGCTTGCTCCTCCAAGGGCATTGTTTTCCTTTCCTATTAAATTTTTCTTTTTCTTCTAATATATCACACATCTTGTTAATGTTGTACAAAACAGGGGAAATATCTTAGAGAAAAGAACAGATTTAGATTACTAAGTGCTGAGTTTGAGATGAGTAGAAGGCAAAGCTGGTGAGTTGAGTATATATACAAAAAATCAGTGGAGAGTCTCTTCCTAAGTGAGGGAAGCAAAACTATGCGATGGGAGGATATCAGAGGCAATTTGGGAGGCCGGCATGTTTTCTGATGCCTGGCAAATGACAATCAAGCCATCAGGGTGTAAGATGAAACAATTTGAATTGATTAAACGACCTATGAAACTCCATGTGATTATGTCTTCAAGGGCTAATTTTTCATTTTTGTGGTTCTCCCTGTCTGTCGCTATCTACAGTAATGGGTCGGCATTCTTCTGAAGTATTTTGCTGTCCAGCAACATGGCAGAGAGATAATAAATGTGACACCCTCTGCTCCACCTTAATGGTTTTGCTATCAAACATAAGAAAACATGCCCTCCTCATATATAAACCCTCACACCCACCGATCACATGGTTTTGTTTCCATGGAAAGGGATCGAGTCTCGCATCGTGAGTGTAATAAGCAACTCACCTGCTTTGCCTCTACCATCACAAGATCATCTTTCAGTATTCTAAAGCCTGAAGGTCACCTCTAGTTCTTGCTTAAGAACTTCCCTTTAGATTAGAGTGCAACAAGACAAGATGATTAGTGCCAAGAAGCTCATCAAATTTGCAAGGAAGTGGCAGAAGCTGGCTGCTATCAGGAGAAAAAGGATCACTGCCACAACCCAATGAGAGAACTGATTCAAGCAGTTGCAGCACGTCGTCAACAACTGAGAAAGGCCACTTTGTAGTTTACTCCACCGATCAGAAGCGGTTTTTCCTTCCTTTAGAATATCTTCACAATAATATTGTCAGAGAGCTACTCGAAATTGCAGAAGAAGAGCTTGGATCACCTAGCGATGGGCCTCTAACATTTCCATGTGATTCAGATCTCATGAAATATGTAGTTTCTTTGATAGAAAACCATATTTCTGCAGATGTAGAGAAAGCACTGTTGATGTCCATAGCCAGGAGTCGCCGCTCATTGTCTTTGGATCCCCATCATGAAGTTCCAAGTCACCAAATACCAATTTGCAGCTTCTGAACAATAGAATCAGAGTTGTAAAGTTATTCCAAAGTTCAACATTAATGTAGTTTTAGTTCAGCTTCTGAAATGAACTTGTCAGCGATGGCGTTGTCATACTTTCCCTTTAACCATTCTTTACGCACATCTGATGAATGTCATTAGCAGGTAATCACAGTTTCTCCTGTGAAGCAGATGAACAATAGCTGGCCACGAGCTGTACTATATCGGATTTGTTACGACTTAAAGAAGCTCGATTTACAAGCACCTATTCTTCATCTTTCATCTCTCAAAATCATCAAAAACGCAAAAACCTCTCAATTAAAATATCTCTATCCTATTATTAAGACCTTTTTCGGCAATTTATTTATCTGAATATTTATCTGTTGAAAAAGAATTATCAAAATCATAAAAGCAATTTTTTTAAAAAAATGTTTTCATTATTATGAAGGGTATGTATTTAAAAATTAAAAAAATAATACTGGAAATTCTACATTGAATCATATAAAAAAAACATAAATTTTATTTTAACCATGATACTCTTTTTTCACACATTACGCACATAATAATTGAAAAATAAATGTTCGATAAAAGTCTATAATATTATTTGAGAACAATGAGTAAATTGAATAATAACTGAAATTAATGTTAAAAAAAAATTAATGCATTTACAAAAATTACAAAAAAGAAACAGAAGAGATGAGGTCCAATCCTAGACGCCTGGAAACCAAACCCAAGTACTTGGCCTTCCCTTTTTGTTTATTTATAATGGTCTTCATTTAAAACAATAAATAAATAATAGATGTCCCGTTTTCTACTATTTTATATTCTAGTTATTGGAAAGGTTGACAAACAATCTGAACTAGGGTTTTTTTGGGTTTAAAACACTAATTTTTTAAGCCTATTTTCATTGAAAACAATTAAAATACACCCATGCCAACTTAATAAATCAATTTTCCAACCTAAAATGCCTTTAAAATCAATCCAAAAACACAAATCAAACAAAAAATATTCTTTCAACCTCAATTCATTTTTTCTATTAAGATGAAGATCTAAAAACACCTTAATAAAACTATTTAACATCAATACAATATTCTCTTTTTTTTTGTAGAAAATGTGGTCAACGACAAATTCTTTTTATTGTTGTTGTTGTCCGATGACTTTCTTTCTCCTTTCTCACACTAAAGAATTGAAATACAAACAAAATAAATTTTTAGATCAAAACTAAAATTTTAAAAATTATAGGATTGTAAAAGAAAAAGAAAATAAGTGGACTAAAAAGTACTTTTTTTACACGAATTTAAGATTGGTTACGAGGTTTCTCCTTATTTTACACTTTAATCCTCTTTGATTGAAATTTTTATTTCCTTAACAAATTTTTTTTTAAAAAAAAGATCAATAATCTAGTCATGGATGGCTACAATTGAAAAAAACTTGGGAACAAAATTGGAAGAAAAAAGGTTTGTCGCATTGTAGATCATGACAATGACTTCCTAGCTATTTTAGTGTAATTGTAATGTAATTGTAATGTAATGTAATGTAATTGTAATGTTTGGAGATCTTCTTCATGTATAACATTATGTTCTTCAATTCCTTGTTCTGCATCTTTGATTTTTGGCTGCTTGGATGAACTAATGGATTGGTGTTCAGGCACACGCTTTGGGGAGTTGACAGCCCATTGTTGTTTATCTCATTAATTTCTTTTTATGTTGTTGTTTTTATGATCAGTGCCAAGATGATCATCAAACTGGCAAGGAGATGGCAGAAACTAGCTGCTACTAGGAGAAAAACAAGCACTCTGCCACAACCCTTTGGAAGAACAGATACAAGCAGTTGTCGCACCAGCTGAGAAGGGTCATTTTGTGGTGTGTTCTGCTGATCAGAAACGACTTTTGCTTCCTTAGGAATAACTACACAGCAAGATTCTCAGAAAGCTACTCAAATTGGCAGAAGAAGAGTTGAGTTTGTCTGGCGATGGACCTCTCACATTGCCATGTGATGCAGCACTATTAGAACACGTAATTGCTTTGAATAAACGGCATGCTACCAGAGAGGTAGAGAAAGCATCGTTGATGCCCATAGCCAGCAATTGCTGCTCATGCTCTTCGGATCACTATCAGCAAGTCACAGACCATAAAATGCCACTTCATAGCTTTGCAGGGTAAATTACACTTGCGAATTAGTCACCCAAGTTTAGTTGACAGACCTTGTTGTAACCCTAAAACATTATTATACATACAATTGCTTTGACAAATGGTGAAAATTTAGACAAACAGTCAATTGTAGTTCTGGAATACAAAATTATAGGGATTTTGCATCCGTAATCCTTGACATGTTTCTCCTTGGGGAATTAAAAAAGAAAAGTCAAAATCCTTTGATTCAAGAGTTTATGCTACCGTTACATGGTTGTTGCTAATCAGAGAGAAGCAGCTGCATCAAGTGATGCTGAGTAATGAAATGTGAACTACAGTTAAGTGATGGGATATAAATGAACACGAATAAAGGTAATCAGGCAGCAGCAGCAGCAATGAACTGTGAGCTACAATTGCATCCATTTCAGAACAAGAATGGGAGATAAATCATGAATCAAAATCATGTATATAATCTCAGTGCTCTTGATTTAATGTGGGAAGCATGTACCAGAATTAAACACTCTTGAGGAGTTCTTTCGGTATAAATAATACAACAATAGATCTTAATTTATATGAATAAAATGTGTCCTCCCAAATTCAATCCTTGCCTGGTACCAATTTCATTGCCTTTATCTCCAGTTACTTGCGCATGTGCAAAAAGTTCAATCTTCATCTTTCTTCTCAGATGAATTTGGATTTTGTGAATATTTCTGCCACCTCTGCTTGTTCTTCTCAGATTTACTTGCGTTTTGAGAAAATTCTGTGAGCCCCTGTCTTAGTGCTCCAAGATTGACCCCATTACCAACCAGAATGCTAGTTACTCCCATTTTTGAAACCTGTCACCAAGAAATCTTTTAAATGGGATAGATGACTCTACAGGGAAATTGGCAGTTCATTACAATAAAAATACAAGATTTAGAGATCCAATCATAAAATTAGAAGACAGGAGAAGCAGGAAAGTTTTGTTTTTACCGATTGAATGTTCCTATCCTCATCATCAAAAAAAAGCATGGAGTTAAAGGGTATCCCAGTCCTCGTATGAATCCGCTGGAAATGATCTGTCTTGTGAGTCCAGCTGGAAAATATTTCCTGAATAGTAAGAAAAAAATCACTCACCATGTAAGCCAAACAAAGGAGTAGTTCCTCTTGATGATAGATGAATATAATTTCATATGTGGAAGATGAAGTGCATACAAAAACAAAATGGAAAACAAAACATTCTCCAAGACAACAGTGAGCAGAAAATAGAACTTCGAGCTAGCAGAATGATAGAACATTCCAATCGTTTTGGCACAAACAGGTAACTCCTAATTCCTGATTTCTCATCAAAGGCAAGCAACAGCCACTTCTACTAAGCAGAAGTGACCCAGAAATATAGATTGTGTAAAAGAATCATCAGAAACACAATAGAATTAAGAGTTTCTTACCTATTTGATATGATGAAACTCAGAGGCTCATCACTCAAATCAAGTTACTAGGCACTAAGTTAATCCTCAACGTCATGAGCTATTCCAAGAAACAATTCAGTATGCAACACTTTACAAACCCTGTGTGTGAGATGCTATATCTTTCTCCTTCCCTTTTAGGACTATGTTCTACTAAACTATGGCCCTGCTAGTCGTTCTTGAGTAAAAAAACACAATTGGTTGACCCTGTTACTCATCGCACAGCAAAGATTTAAAAAGAAAAAAAAAAGATTCTTAGTTCTTGCAGACTCACCTGTGCTACAAACATTGGCTTGAGACTTAGTTTATCAATAAATGTCTTTGCAATATCTGAGGTTGGTGATCTAGAAGCAATGGCCATGTCAATCCCCTTTTCCTTGAGTGCATATAATATGCCTTTAGCTTGGGGATACAAGGATGGCATGTCACGCTTGGAGCGACATTCGCTGAATAACAACCATAACTGAATCAAAATTTAGACCATGGAGAACAGAAAAAACATTGGCACAAGGAGAAAATAAAAGGAAACCATTCTAATGTTTAAATAATCAAGTACTACAAAGATAGTACCTTTTTTTTATTAAACTAATGCAAGGTTCTAAAGACCAAATGGGACATTAGTATCATTATACGCAAGTAAGATGCAAATGTCGAATGTACCAGCGTGATCAACTGCCAAATGTTTTGCTTCCACTAATGTTTCAAACGTTATTAAATGCGTAGAAAAAACATTAGCTGCAAAATTAATTGCCAAGTTACTTATATTACAAAGAATGAGGTGCGTGAAAGATGAAGGGCTACTACGTGCTAAGTTGAACAACTTAACCCACATTCAATCGACATCATATTACAAACTAACTTCAAGGCTTCAATTCAAACATCATTAAAAGTACCCTCCAAGAAATTAAAAACAAATTCTCATTATAACTACAAACATTTTTTCCAACATACTAGCAAGTCCATTTCAGCTCTCCAGTAATTAAGATTTTAATTTAAAAATTCTTTCCTGATACTAACAATCTTAATAAATAACACAAACATATAATACCAAGTTACAATTTTTTCCACGAAAGTTTCCCAGTAACACAAAAACAGAACAAAGCGTGAGAAACCCACATGAAAATAACAACATTAAACAAGAAAGCATGACAAAAGGAACATAATATTTGACATAACTCTATGTTAACATGCATGTGGCTGTAAAGAAAGAGAGGTACCAATAGAAAGGCCAGAGAGTGTAATCTAGATCGAAGACGACCAATCTAGGCAGCACTTGAAACATTCCAATAATTTGCAAAGCATCGTGTTTCACCATCTCGTCTCCCATCTTTCTGCTTGCTTTTGCCTTTCCAAACGAACTTGATAGAATTTTAGGCGTTTGGTCGCTCGGTGTTGTTGGTGGAAATAATAATAATAATAAATAAATCCAATTGGTATTTGTTTGACAAAGAAAACACAAGGTTCAGGTGGGCTTCTGAATTTTTATGGTCGTGGCCCAAAACAAGCCAATAATTTATAGGACCCAATCTATTTTCTTTCTCAATCAGGTCCTTAATGTATTAATAAATTCTCAATCAGATCATTCCTTCATGATTCAGTAGTTAGTGAAGCTTTTATATATATATATATATATATATATATATATATATATATAAATTTTTGAAGAAT